TTTTAGTAATTGCTAAGGTTTTCTATTTTTTTATGGCTCAAGCTTGACCAGAAGTTTGTGCGTTGTTTTCTAGGTTATGAAATTTGTTAGTGTAGACTTGTTTGTAATAATCTCAAGGGAACCTTTATATTTTTATAGTGTTACTTGTAGTGTCTCTTTTGAAATTTTTTTTTATTTTGGTAACTTTTTGTTTGGCTAACCATTTGCCAGTTTTGTTTTATCGTTTTGAAGAAACATTCATCTTATTGATCTTTTGCATGTATGCTTTTTCTTTGATATTTCACTTATTTCTATTCTTGTCATCAGTTAATTGGTTTGATTTGTCTTAATTTTTCTTGTCTTTTGAGATGCTGAATATGTTGAGAGCTGTGTGTGCGTGTGCATGTGCGTGTGTGTGCCAGTATGGTGCTAGCCTGGGTACTTGTCCCTAAGCTTTCTTTTTGCTCATGGCTTAGAGCTTTACTGCTTGAGCCAGAGCTCTACTTCCAGCTTTTTGGTGATTAATAGGAAATAAAAGTCTCACAAACTTTCCTGCCTTGGTTGGCTTTGAACTACGTTTCTCAGATCTTAGCCTTCTGAGTAGCTAGGATTACAGGTGTGAGCTACTAGTACCTATTTAAAAAAAAATTAAAAATGTAGCTATTGATTGCTAAAAATCATTCCTTTTTTTACATTGATTGTTTTCAAAACATTTCACATTATGCCTCAGCCAATCGGGACTGCTCTTCCTATTTGTGCCTCCTAAATTGCTGGGGATGATCAGCACAAGCCATGGTGCTCAGGCATTTTGCTTCATCTGTAGCAGGAATAACAAGGTGTCCACCACCATGCCCAGCCATTGATTGGCATTCAGTCTCTCTAACCTTTTTTTTAATGGACTGGCCTCCGAACGGTAATCCTCTAAGCGGAGGTATTCAGCAAATCTTTTTAGTCATGCTTTTTGCTGTAACCCCATAGGCTTTGTATGTTTATTTCGATTTTCATTTGTCTTAAGAAATTAAAAAAAATACTTTATACATTCATTGATTAAGACCAAGCTGTCTAGTTTCCATGTATCTATGTAGTTGCCAATTTTTGCTCATTTCTAGTTTTAGTGCATTGTGGTTAGAAAAGATACTTGATAAAATTTCAGTTAAAAATGTATTTGTTTTGTTGGGCTATCATATGATATATTCTGGAGAATGTTACATGTGTTGATGAGAAGATTGTGTATTCTTTAGCTACTGGATGGAATATTATGTAGGTGTCTGTTAGGTCTGTTTAGAGTGCCTGATTTAGCTCTGCCAACTTTTGTGAGTTTCTGTCTGAATGTCCTGTTCATTACTGAAAGTGGGTTATTAACTATTATTCTATTGAAGTCTGCCTCTCCCGTTAAGTCTGTAAATAGTTTTATGTATTATGTGCCATTTATAGTTAAAGTTTGTGTTATCTGATGTAAATATGACTACTGCCTTTTTTTAAAATCCTATTTGTATTGATTATATTTCACCATCCTTTCACTTTTAGTCCTTAGAGGTGAAATAAGGAGCTTATAGCTAGGTCTTACATTTAAACATTTCAGTTCCTCTATGGCCATTAGACAGTTTAGTCCATTGTCATTTAAAGTAATTATCAGTAAATAAGTTCTTACTATAGCCATTTTATAACTAATTTTCTAGTATATTCTATTTCCTGTATTTCTCTTAGATTATCTAATAGTTTTTCTTTGTATTTAAGAGATTTACTCTGTTAGTGCATTTTGATTCTTAACTAAAGCTTTGGTTTGTCTACTGTAGAATTTTGTAGCTATCATTAAGTTTATAAAAAATTAATCTTTTGAATATAGGACACTACTTTGAAATGATTCCAAGATATTTTGAAGTGGTATCAACTTAACATAATCATAAAGACAAGAAAAAAACAAGAAAGAATATATTAACGCACATGTATTTGACTTTTTTTTTTTTTTTTTTTTTTGGTCGGTTGTGGGGCTTGAACTCTGGGCCTGGGAGCTGTCCCTCAGCTCTTCAGCTCAAGGCAAGCACTCTCCCACTTGAGCAATAGCGCCACTTCCGGTTTTTCTAGTGGTTTATTGGAAATAGGAGTCTCATGGTCTTTCCTGCCAGGACTGGCTTTGAACCGCGATCTTTAGATCTCAGCCTCCTGAGTAGCTAGGATTACAGGCGTGAGCCACCGGTGCCTGGCTCATATTTGACTTTCTATTTATCTACTCCCCACATTTTGAATTTTTTTTGGAGATATGTTCTTACTATGTAGCCCAGTTTTTCTTATAACTCCCATATTTTGTATTTTTAAGGTCCCTTATTACATATTCCAGTATTGCCAACTTTTAACAGATTAATGTAGTCATGTTTTTTTGTTGTTCTATGTGCCAGGCACTTTTTTTCATTATAAAGGTGATGTACAAAGGAAATACAGTTACATAAGTTAGGTAATGAGTGCATTTCTTTTGAGCAGGAGTACCCTCTCCCTTATTTTCTCTTGCTTCCCCCTCCTCCACTCCCCTAATTGTTTTTAATCATTTTGAGTTTTAAGTCTTTATATGAAAACTATAGTTTATTTTTGATGATTTTATAAAATTTTATAAACTTGTGTTTTAATTAAGTATTTATTTATTTATTTGGTGGTATTGGGTTTTTTTGGAAGTCAGGACTTTGTGCTTGCCAGGCAGGTGCCTCTACTGCCAAGACATGCCTCCAATTCTTTTTTTGTTTTCGTTGCACTGGTTATTTTTGAGATTGGATCTGGGTTCCTGCCTGGGTGCATACCCTGGAATGCAATCATATTTTTTGCTTCTTAATATGGCTAGGGTAATAATTGAATTATCACTACATCTAGCTTCTTTAGTTGAGATGATTATCATGTATTATTCATACCAGCACACCCAGCTATTAGTTGGGAAGGGTCTCAAGAATCTTTTTGCACAGGCTGGCCTCAAACCCTGAGCCTCCTGATCTCAGCCTCCCACAAAGCTGGGATTACAGGTCTGATCACTTGCTCCTGACTAATTAAACTTTTTCTAGTTTATTACCTATAGAGAAAATGAAACATGGGAAAACAGTGGGATAAGTTTAATTCTGAAAGCCAAGAAAACAAACCTCCTTTCACTATTGTTATGTATTAAATCTAACATGAAGAGAGATAATTTTTCTTCAGAACACATTTTCTACAGAACACATTTTCTTACCTGCATGACAGATATAGCTAAAGAAATTAGCATTTATCTTAGCTTCCAAACCTCACTATAATATTTCACAAAGGAGAATCACTGAATTTAAATTTCTAAGCAAATTCACAAGATGGTTTTGGCAAACTAATAACCACTAGGTCTTCAAGACTACAAATGCAGTTACCTTTAACATTGTATGTCATGTATAGTGCTTGATTAGCACTATAGTAGGTATTAGGATGCTTGTGAATATAAGACACATGGTTGGCCTGAGCTTATTATTGAACAGAGGTGACAAATATTAAGTGAATATATACACTGATAATCAGTAGTGATACATCATATGAAGGAGAAAATACAAGGTTCTATGAGAGTAAAGTGTTTTGAAATGTTTTATTTGGTCTTGCAATTTGAAATTGATAACTGGAGTAATTTTTCCAAAATAACTTAATAGAACAAATCAATATGGGATGTGTCTAATACTCATAAGCCATAATAGTAAATATTAACTTCAGCATAGTTGTACATGTCCATCTATTTTTTTATTCCAAACTTTGCATGGCCAATGTTTAATTTTACTATTACAGAAGAATGGCATTCTGTTACATTTGAAAATTTGAAGGTACATTGGATCCTGCTAATTTATTGGATTCTTCTAATTAGTAGCAGTACAGTTCTCAGGTTCTGTAGTTAAGAAATAAATGAACATAAATCCACTAAATAAAAATATTTTTAATACAACAATATGGAATTAGAGTAACTCTCCTTTTTCCTGCTCACAATTTGATTTGCTGAAGCTGCCTCCCGAAAATCATGGGTATCGACACTCTGTTCAGAACTTGCTCCGGACTCTCATTTGGCAGAATCAGGTCAGGTGGCAGTATCAGGTAAAGGGAAATAAGAAACATGCTCCCCCTCCCTGTTTTTTTCCTTGAATACATTCATTGAGGAAAAACAGTAGAAGGTTGTCAAGGTGAAGGGGAGGTACATAAGAAGATACTGGGATTATTTATGCACAAAATTAATCGATTTTTGTAGTGTTCGTTAGGTTTTAGAATCAAGGTCCATTTGAAGAGAAAGTTAGAAAGGGGGGATTATAAAAGCATAAGGACAACACGAATGGAGATAATAATAATACAGCATTACTGATCACCATAAATGTGAGCTAAATTAAAATGAATGTCACTAACTTAGATGTAAATAAAAGTGCAGTTTTCATAGTTTCTGAATTGAGAGAACATATGATAGGAATCCCTCTTGATTCTTAAGGAATCTGATAAGAGGAAAATATATTAAGGAAAAATACCAAGTTTAGAAAAATTAGATTATATACACTTTTGTAAATATATTGCCAAATTTCACACTAATTTTTAAAAATTTGATAACAAAAGAAAACATGAATTTAGAACACTCAGGAGTATTTGACATATAAGCATAGTTGCTTAAATACTGTCTTTCAAGGTGTTTTTTCTTCACACCTTTAAAGTCTATATCTAGATGTTATTGATTTTAACAGATTTTTATTAAATTGATGTTGATTTTAAAAAGTAATATAGAAGTGGAGCTGTGGCTCAAGTGGTAGAGTGCCAGCCTTGAGCAAAAAAGCTAAGGGACAGTGCCTAGGCATTGAGTTCAAGCCCCAGTACTGGCACACACCTTAAAAAAAGGAAAAAGAAAATCCCAAAATGCAAACAAAAATCCCATGATCTGCTAGGTGGGTAGACAACTTTGCATATAGTAGGTGACTAATAAATACCTTACATAAGTAGCATTCAAGATTCACTTGTTATATGGAATGAACTGATTACTTTTTTCTCTTCTTGTTTTTTAGAAATATTAAGAGTTTGTCAGATATCCAGATAGTACAGGTTGCTTGTGGTTACTATCATTCCCTTGCACTTTCTAAAGGTAAGCATTGTTTTTCTTTTCATTAAATTTCGTTTTATTTTTTGTTATTTTGAGCATCAAGGTCCTGAGCTTTTTCTTCTTTCAAGGTTTCTTGGTTCTTCTTGATCTGTTTTGTTTCTATATAAATTTCAGAATTATCTTATTAGTTTTTATGCACATTTGGTTGAAATTTTATTGTCTAAATCAATTTGGAAAAAATTTTATAATGTCAAGTCTTGGAATCCTTGAAACTGATATACTACCATTTTCTCCTTTTAATTTTTCTCAGTATTTTCTTACGTGTGGAATAATTTTATACATATTCAACAGATTTTTCTCTTAAGTATTTTTTTTTTTGTCATAACACAGCTGGGGAAGATTGCTTCACCAAATAGTTAATTTCCCAGATAAACATGACAGGGCAACTACAGAATAAATCAGAAGGCAAAACATCCTGTTCACTTTGTTTGTATTTCTCTTTCACTGGTTTAATTTATTCATATGTCACCTGAGGGTTGGCATATGGATTAGTAAGAATTTGCCATACACGTGGGGGTTTATTTGTAGTACTAGAGTTTGTGTGGCTTTTTTCCCCCTTGCATTACTGGGAGTCAAACTTGGGGCTTCACGTTTGACCTGCTTCACCTGTTAAGTCACACCCCCTGTGTACTGGAGTTTGAACTCTGTGCCTTGTGTTTGCTGTGCATAAGGGCATGCACTTCTAATCACAGGCTGACAGAGTAAAAATGTCAACCTGGAATATACAGTGAACCTCTGTTTCAAAAAAACAAAAAAAAATGATTTTAAAAAAAGATTGGCTATCTAAAGAAATTGAACTCCTTAAGTATAAATTCAAGGCCTTTTGTAATAGATTCTATTTTCATTTCAGTCTCAACTGAAATGTGAATATATCTTACAATACCAACATTAAACTATATGCCAACACCAAAAAACAAAAGACTTTCTTGACTCTGTGCCCTTAGTACTAACACAATGTCCCTACTCACTTCTCAGTGTTATTCTAATTCTTGGTAAATGTATTTTCCTGCCTCAAATTACATTTATTAGATTAATTGCCTGTTAGGATGTATAGTTCCTAAAATTATTGTAATTTATGTCTTACTAAATTCCAGCCTTCAAGCCTAATACTTTATTCATTGTATAGTAGATGCCGCTGCTACTGTTAGAGCCACTGGAACTGTTATATTGTATGTATGTATGTATGTATGTGTGTATGTATGTATGTATGTTGGTTTTGGGGCTTGAACTCTGGGCCTGGTGCTGTCCCTCAGCTCTTCAGCTCAAGGCGAACACTACCACTTGAGATACAGTGCCACTTCGAGTTTTCTCAGGGTTAATTGGAAATAATAGTCTCACAGAGACTTTCCTACCTGGGCTTGCTTTGAATGTGATCCTCAGATCTCAGCCTCCTGAGTAACTAGGATTATAGGCGTGAGCCATCAGCGCCAGGCAGAACTGTTTATATATATATATATATATATATTTAATTTTTATTATGAAAATACTGTACAGAGGGGTGACAATTACATGGGCAAGATAATGAGTACAATTCTTATCAAGCATTGTAGTCTCCTCCTTTGTTTCCCCTTCCCATCCCTTCCCATCCTCCCCCGCCTCCCCCCACCTCCCCTAGAACTGTTTATATTTTATGTACTTATTTTTTGGTGCCAGTCCTCGGGCTTGAACTCAGGGTCTGGGACCTGTTGGTGAGTTTTGTGCTCAAGAGTAACAAACACTCTACCACGTGAGCCGTAACACTACTTCTGGCTTTTTGATGTTTAGTGGGAGCTAAGAGTCTCATAGGCTTCTTTCCCTGGGTGATTTTTGAACCACAAGCTTTAAATCCTAGCGTCTTGAGTAGCTAGGATTACAGGTGGTGAACCACTGGCAACAGGCCTAATTTTAATTTTAGAGTACGTACTGGAGCTTGAACCTCAGGGCTTAGATTCTATCCTTTTGCTTCAATCTGGCACTGTATTACTTGAGCCACAGCTCCACTTGTAGCTTTTTTGCTGTTTAATTAGAGATAAGACTCACAGATTTTCCTGCCTGGGCTTGCTTCAAACCTTGATCTCAGCTAGGATCATAGGTATGAGCCACTGGCCCTTGGCTGCAAGTTGTTCTTTTAATAAAAATAAAAAGATGTCTAAAAGGTTATAAAATAGGCAGGAGACGGCAAAAGTGACAGACTGTTATAGGAAACTATTATAGGAAAAAAGGTATAAAACAGTGAAGAATACAATTTGTCATACTGTTTACTTATTTATTTTTGGGTCTGGTCGTGGGGCCTGAACCTCTGGGCCTGGGCGCTGTCCCTCAGCTCTTCAGCTCAAGGCTAGCACTCTACCACTTGAGCCACAGTGCCACTTCCAGCTTTTTTTTCTTTTTGCTTATATGGTACTGAGGAATCGAACCCAGGGCCTCATGCATGCAAGGCAAGCACTCTACCACTGAGCCATCTTCCCAGCCCACTTTTTATTTATTTTTTGATGCCAGTCCTGAAGCTTCAGGGCCTGGGTGCTGTCTCTGAGCTTTTGTGCCCATGGCTAGCACTCTACCATTTGAGCAACAGCTCTACTTCTGGCTTTTTGATGGTTAATTGGAGATGAGTCTCACAGACTTTCCTGCCTGGGCTTAGCTTTGAACTGCTATCCTCAGATTTCAGCCTCCTGACTAGCTAGGATTACAGATGTGAGCACCTAGCACCTGGCTATACTTTATTTTTTCTTTTTTAAGAAAATCATGTAGGGGCTGGGAAGGTGGCTCAGTGGTAGAGCGCTTGCCTTGCATGCCTGAGGCCCTGGGTTTGATTCCTCAGCACCACATAAGCAAAAAGAAAAAAAGCCGAAGTGGCTGTGGCTCCAGTGGTAGAGTGCTAGCCTTGAGCTGAAGAGCTGAGGGACAGCGCCCAGGCCCAGAGTTCAGACCCACGACCGGACCAAAAAAAAAAAAAGAAAAGAAAATCATGTATAGGGGCTGGGAAGGTGGCTCAGTGGTAGAGCGCTTACCTTGCATGCATGAAGCCCTGGGTTTGATTCCTCAGCACCACATAATCAAAAAGAAAAAAGCCGCAAGTAGTGCTGTGGCTCAAGTGGTAGAGCGCTAGCCTTGAGCTGATGAGCTGAGGGACAGCGCCCAAGCCCAGAGTTCAGGCCCCACGACTGGACCCCCCAAAAAAGAAAATCATGTATAATTTAGTGATAAAGACTAGATTTGGGTGTGTTTGAAAGGACAGATTATTAATGGAATATGACTTACTAAGCAAGTATGATTGGTTAGGCATATGCCTTGTGCTACTCAGCTAATTATTTTCTTAATAAAATTCAGAAGGAGATACAGGTATTAGGTATAAGATCAGTGCTAGAGTGGTAGTCATGAATTCAGTTTGAGGCTTTCTTTGGTAAGATCATACTATGTTAAAACCTTTTAAATATTGAAACCAATGTAAGCTAAATGCTCAGTTACATGGCTTGTTATTACTTAGGAGAGATTTGGACAAGTGATAAAAATTTCAGTATGATTAGCATATAGTTGATAACTGAAGCCTTAATTGTATATGAGTGCCTCTTGGGAGAAGCTATAGAATAAAACTAGAACTTGAAGAATATTAAGCAAGGCAGTCCTTTGTTGAAGAACAAATGGAAATAAGATTAGCCTTACCCCTTGTTAGGTAATTAACCGTTTATTGTATAATTAGTCAAGCTTCAAGTGTATTAATACAGGTAGTTCTTCTAGGTAGTAGTACATTTCCATGTAAAGAAAGTTAATTGCTAAAAAGAAAAAATAAGTATTGGCATTTAATGAAGGGAGGAATGTTCCAAAATTGATGATCTTCAATTGAAAATTATTTTGATATGAGAAAAATAATTTAAGAATCTTTTGTCTTTCAGCAAGTGAAGTTTTCTGTTGGGGACAGAATAAATACGGCCAGTTGGGTTTGGGCATTGACTGTAAAAAACAAACTTCACCACAGCTGCTTAAGTCTTTGCTTGGAATCCCCTTCATGCAAGTTGCAGCAGGAGGCGCCCATAGTTTTGTACTCACCCTTTCTGGAGCTATCTTTGGATGGGGACGCAACAAATTTGGTCAGCTAGGTCTTAATGATGAAAATGGTAAGTTCTCATTTTAATTCAAATATGCTTTTTAAAAAGATAATCATTTGAAATGAATGAACAGTTTTTAGTGTGTTAGAGGGAAAGGTACGCAAATATTCCCAAGAATAAAAATGGGCTAAGGTGTTAAAGTTTTGATTTGATAAAATTTTGAGACGATTATAGGAAGCAAAAAAATGATTTTATCATAAACTATAGAAGTTTATCTAGTCAAACTCTTTTTATTGGATGTCCATTAAAAGACAATAATACTACTTCAAGTTAGTAACCAGCATTATTTCTTCATTGGCCACCACCAGTGATAAAAAAAGACTATGAAATTATTTTGGGAAGGAGCTGGGAATGTAGCTCCGTGGTAGAGCATTTTTGCCTGGCATGCATAAGGCCTGGTTTTCAGTCCTAAATGTATCCCCCAGAAAATATTTGGGAAAAATAACATTAAGTATTGAGTACTTTAAGGAAATATTTATATGATATTAAATGAAGGTTTTGTGTGGGTTTTGTTGTATGTGTGTGTGTGTGTTTGGGTGGGTGGATCCTGGGTCTTGAACTCAGGGCCTAGGCACTATCCCTCAGCTTTTTTGCTCAAGGCTAGTGATCTACCACTTGAACCACAGCTCTACTTCTGGCTTTTTATTGGTTAATTGGAGATAAGAGTCCCATGGATTTTCCTACTTGGGCTGTGTCAAACCCATGATCTTCAGATTTCAGCCTCCTAATAGCTAGGATTACGGCCATAATTACCTGGCTTAAATAAAGTTTTAGTTGTGCTCTTTTGGCATGGATACTAGAATGTTTAAAATACACATTTAGGATTTTAAGAAATTAAAACTATTTTAAACCAGTTAACAATAAGATGTACAAGACACTATGCTGAAAACGAACTTTATAACTTCAGGGAGGCTGGGGAGGGAGTTGGGGAGGTGGGGAGGGAAGGGATAGTAGTGGAAAAACAAAGAAGGGGGTAACAATGCTTGATAGGAAATGTACTCATTACCTTATTCATGTAACTGTAACACCTCTGTACAGTATCTTTACAATAAAAAAGTTTAAAATAATAAAAAATAAATAGTTGGGATCTTGGGTGTAATTTTTTATAGTTGTTAATATTGTGATTGCCAGAAATACTAATTTCATAAAGTTTTAACAGTTTAATGACTGAAATGGACAAAGTGAATTGTTGATCTATTAAGAACTGATCATGAGGGGCTGGGAATGTGGCCTAGTGGTAAAGTGCTTGCCTAGCATGCATGAAACCCTGGGTTTGATTCCTCAGTACCACATATACAGAAAAAGCTGCAAGTGGCACTGTGGCTCAAGTGATAAGAGTGCTAACCTTGGACAAAAGAAGCTCAGGGACAGTGCCCAGGTCAGAGTTCAAGCCCCAGGACTGGCAAAACAAACAAACAAAAAAAGAAACTGATAATGTAAACTGATATAGAATTAAAGAAGTTTGTTTTGTGTAAGAAAAATGTCATTATGATAATGTTTCCTTCTACAAAATAGAGGAAAGTTGGATTTTCAGACTTTTACGTAGTATTCCATAAACATAACCAATCTAAATTTAAAGTATGATACATAGGGAGAAAGTTAGAAACAGACTTTTAAAATTCCTTGAGGGCAGAGTCTTGTGCAGGTTTGCATATATGCTGTTTAAAATGTAACTCTAACAGAGTTTTAGTAGAATAGATAGATGAGTTGGAACCTAACTTAGTTGGCTTATAAGCAAAATCAATCTACTCATAGTTAAAAAAAATTAGTTATCACAGTCTACTGAGCGTGGGAGCTGTATAAGAATTATATTTTAGAAGAGTTTTAACTTTAAAAATATTAATCTCTTTTATTGGAATTTTCAGATAGGTATGTTCCTAATTTACTAAAGTCATTAAGATCTCAGAAAATAGTTTATATTTGTTGTGGAGAAGATCACACTGCTGCGTTAACCAAGGTATTGTACTTCTGAAAGTTTGTCTTTATTACTTCACAGTAGTTTTTTTATATTTACTGAGTATTTTCAAGGTATTTATATTAAAACTTGAGAGTACATACTGTTGGTGTTAGATCATTTCCTCAGCGAGGTGCTGATGGCTTTCATGCCTGTGATCTTAGCTGATTAGGAGGCTAAGATCTGACGGTGGCGGTTTAGAGGCAGCTAAGGCAGGAAAGTTCATGAGACTGTCTCCAGTTCGTCAGTTAAGTGGCAGAGTGCCAGCCTTGAGCTAAAAAGCTTAGCAAGAGCCTGAGGCCCTGGATTCAAGCCCCAAAACAAAAAACTCAAACACATCCCCCAATTTTTTAAATTTGGCTTATAAATATAACAAATAAGAGACTGACTGAGTTTGTTATTTGTAGTCTTTAAGTATTGTGTTAGCAATTATAATGAAGTTTCAACAGTGTAGTCAATGGCTTTAACTCTCATCCCTCACTTTAGTATGTATATTCCACTTCAGTAACAATATTGCTTAGTCCTGTTTTGGGGTAGTTGGTTTTTTGTTTTTTTGTTTTTTTTGGTTGATTGTGGGGCTTGAACTCTGGGCCTGGGCGCTGTCCCTCAGCTCTTCAGCTCAAGGCTAGCACTCTACCACTTGAGCCACAGCACCACTTCTGGCTTTTTCTGTTTATGTGGTGTGGGGAATCCAACCCAGGGCCTCATGCATGCAAGGCAAGCACTCTACCACTAAGCCACCTTCCCAGCCCCTGCTTAGTCCTGTTTTGATTACAAGGTAAAATGAAAATTTTCAAATAGGTAGGTCAGTGGTCTATCATTTATCATGTGCAAGGTCCTGGATTTGATTACCAGTATTACAAAAACAGAACAAAAATTTTCAACTAATTTCTATTGAAGAATTACTTGTTATACTAATTTATATCAGCATAAAGGTTATAGCAGATATTTCATTGGCCAAATTACAAAGTGATTTTTTTTTTGGTTCGGTCGTGGGGCCTGAGCTCTGAGCACTGTCCCTCAGCTCTTCAGCTCAAGGCTAGCACTCTACCACTTGAGCCACAGCGCCACTTCGGGCTTTTTTTTTCTGCTTATGTGGTGCTGAGGAATCGAACCCAAGGCCTCATGCATGCAAGGCAAGCGCTCTACCACTGAGCCACCTTCCCAGCCCGTGATTTTTTTTTTTTTTTTACTTTACCTTTTTTTTTGGTCTGGCCAAAATGAATTAATAAGAAATTAGCTTGCAAACAGACTTCAAAATGTTTAAAAAATGTTTTTTATTAATGTGCCAGGATTACAGGTGTCTGCCACCATAGTTATCTTAAATATTCTGCGCTTCCATTCTGTTTAACATCAGAGTTATTCTCATGAGCACTTGTGGCATATGCTATAAGTATATGTATTTTTTTTTAATGAAACTAAGTTTAAATGTCCCAGAAGTAAACATTGTTTTTTTTTCAAATTAGAATTTTTGTTCTGTATTGATGCATTTTTGGATTTTCTGTAACATAATTCTTACATGTAGATTGGTTATTTTATGAAGAAGTTTCCTTTTGTAAAATACGTATTTGATGAATAGCATTAAGAAAACATTAGGGAACAAAGGAGGAAGCTACAATGCTTGATAGGAAATGTACTCATTATCTTGCCCAGGTAATTGTAACCCCTCTGTACAGTATGTTCACAATAAAAAAAAATTAGGGAAGATTTTTGAAATATACTTTTTAAATTAGAATAAATACTAAGACATTTTACGTTAGTGGATATGAAATCTGACCATTGGTCACATGTTTTCAAATTCATTATGTAAATCACACATATATATATATATATATATATACCTTTTTGCTTTTTGTTTTTTTTTAGTCTGTTGTGGGCCTTCAGCTCTGGGCCTGGGTGCTGTCCCTCAGCTCTTCAGCACAAGGCGAGTGCTCTACCACTTGAGCTACAGGGCCACTTCTGGTTTTCTGGTGGTTTATTGGAGATAGGAGTCTCATGGTCTTTCTTGCCCGGGCTGGCTTTGAACCTCGATCCTCAGATCTCAGCCTCCTGAGTAGCTAGGATTACAGGCATGAGCCACCAGCGCCCAGCTATATCTTTTTGATCTAACAACTATTTTCAAGAATCTAATTCCTAAGCAGAAAATTATGTATTGCCTTTTATTATCATCTTAATAGCAAAAGACAAGAAGAAAGTTACATCTCTATGGATAATATTCTAATTGAATAAATTATAATACTTTTGTGTGATGGAGAATACCAAACTAAAATAGAATGAGAAAAGATCTGTACTTTATATTGTAGAATGAGCCATAGAATATATAGTTAAAGTTAAAGGAACCAATGTCTTTTCTAAATCAGGGTCTTGCTAGCTTCACACTTGAAATCTTCCTGCCTCATTCTCTCAAATACTGGGATTAAAAGTGTGAACCACCATGCTCACTTGGCACTGATGTCTTTTGTGTAGGAAAGGGCCTAAAGTGTGAACATAAATTGCATGCTGTGTTTTGTTTTTGGCATTACTAGGATTTGAACTCAGAGCCTTTCAATTGCTAGGTATGCTCTAACACTTGAGCCACATCCCTGTCCTTTGTGCTTCAGTTGTTTTTTGGATGAAGTTTTAACATGTAGTCCAAACTGGCCTCCAACTCCCAAGTGCTGGGCCTACCCTATCAGACTTGCTGTCCTATTTTGGGGGTGTGTGTCTGTTGTGGGGCTTGAACTCTGGGCCTGAGCACTGTCCCTCAGCTCTTCAGCTCAGGGCTAGTGCTCTACCACTTGAGCCACTGTACCACTTTCCATTTTCTGAGTGGTTTATTGGAGATAAGAGTCTCACAGACTTTTCATTCCTTGGCTGGCTTTGAACTGTGATCCTTAGATCTCATCCTCCAGAGTAGCTAGGATTACAAGCGTGACCCACTGGCACCCAGTTGGCTGTCCTATTTTTAACATCACCAACCTGTCATATTTTGTTATCTGGTGAAAGAAAAAGAGGAGGACATAAGTGTTTTAAATGAAGAAACTATTGTTTTTCTGACTGTGATAATGGCAGGGTAATGCATTTTTTTTAATTTGGAGAAGTATGCAATTGAATATATATATAAATTTTAGGGGGAAAATGGTCATCACAGTTTGCTTTAATTTCCCCAAAAAGGGACGAGAGGCATCAGTAAAACACTCACTCTTAGTGCTGTTCATTAATATTACAAAGTATATTGATTATATCATAATTTATAATATTTTTATGTATCTGAAGTTTTTAAAAAGTTTTAAAAAGAAAATTTTTTCTTTGCAATATATAAAAAAATTATATTCTCATATAATATAAATTTACATAGACAGTACCTCTGTCTTGAATTTGGGGCCTGGACACTGTCCCTGAGCTTTTGTGTTCAGGGGTAGTGCTCTATTACTTGAGCCATAGCACCATTTCCGGGTTTTTGCTGGTTAGTTGGAGTTAAGCGTCTCACAGGCCTTTTTGCCTTTGAACTGTGCTCTTATGATCTCAGCCTCATGAATATTATAGGCAAGAGCCACTTTCATCTGGTAAATTTTTCCTTATTTCTACTTCAGGCATTTTACTGGTTAATTGGAGTTAGGAGTCTTACTCACTTTTTCATCTGGGCTGTGTTCTAACTGCAGTCCTCAAATCTCATAAGCCCACCTGTACCCATATATTTTTATATTCAAATTTTAAAGACCATCGTTGTAGTATAACAACTATATACTAAAATATTGCCATATTTTCCCCCTTTCTGTTTTTGCCGTTAGTAGCTTTGGCTGGATTTGAACTCAAGGTCTCTTGCTGTAGCCTCCTGAGTGCTGAGATCACAGACCTCTATTGCTGTGCTGGACTTACTCAAAGATTGAATTTCAACAGAGCATAATGATAGTAAAAGGCATTGCAAATGAATACTTCTTTAATGAGAACTTCAGCGAAATAATGTTAAAATAGTGAAAACTTAAAACACTTCAAAAATACATGAAAATATTTAGCTTTCAACCTTGATTCTCTTTAATTTTAAGATGTACTACCCTCTTGAAAGAATCAGCTTTATCTGTCAAACTTTAAAAACAGAAGAGTCTAAGTATTGACTTAATTTTCTGAAGATCAGTTTATTTTCTTTTTTTTTTTTCCTTAGGAAGGTGGAGTGTTTACTTTCGGGGCTGGAGGGTATGGCCAATTGGGTCATAACTCTACCAGTCATGAAATAAACCCACGGAAAGTTTTTGAACTTATGGGAAGCATTGTTACACAGATTGCTTGTGGAAGGTAAGCTATAATAGAAATGAGCTTTTGTTTCTGTGGTATAATTATTGGGTTGAGTGTAGTGGCAAATGCCTGTAATCTTAGCACTGGATCCAGTGGTATCTCAAGTTTGAGGTCAAGCTGGAGTACATGAGACTTTGTCTCAAAAAAAAAAGCAGAACCCCAAACATACAACAATGAAAACAGCTGTCCGTGATTATTTAGTGATTCATAAAATTTTCTTTTTTTTTATGGATACTTCCTAATATCATGTGTCTTTCACATGGTAATTCTATTTTCAGTTTGTTACTGCTACAGTGTTCAGTTTGTAACTGCTACAGTGTTTCATATATCTTCATCATTTTATGTGTCTGGGTTTTTTTCTGTGCACCCTTAAATGGCTTTTTCTCTCAACACTCTACCACCTGAGCCATGCCTCCTTGTCTGGTCTTTTGCTAATTAATTGGAGATAAGTTTAATTTATCTGCCCAGGATGTCTTCTAAACTAGTTCCTCAGATCTCAGCCTTCTGAGTAGCTAGCGTTTTTGTGTGTGTGTGTGTTTGTTTTTTTTTAAATTGTTGGTGGTGGGCTTAAACTCGGGGCTGGGGGCTGGGAAGGTGGCTCAGTGGTAGAGTGCTTGCCTTGCATGCATGAGGCCCCGGGTTCGATTCCTCAGTACCACATAAGCAAGAAGAAAAAAGCCAGAAGTGGCACTGTGGCTCAAGTGGTAGAGTGCTAGCCTTGAGCTGAAGAGTTGAGGGACAGCGCCCAGGCCCAGAGTTCAGGCCCCATGACCGGACTCCCCCCCCAAAAAAAACAAAAACCCCCACAAAACTCCGGGCTGGGCGCTGTCTCTTAGCTCAGCTCAATGCGAGCACTCTATCTACCACTTGAGTCACAGCACCACTTCCAGTTTTCTGGTGGTTATTTGGAAATAAGAGTCTCATGGACTTTCCTGCCTGGGCTTAGCTTTGAACCGTGATCCTCAGATCTCAGCCTCCTTAGTAGCTAGTATTACAAGCTACCGGTGACCAGATAGATATAGCAGGTGCCCAGATATAGCAAGTGTTTTAATCCTGGACCAGTGGTGCATGGTTGTTACCTTCTCTTCCCATTTTCTCCTCTCCCTTCCCTATATTTTTTTTCACCTTACATTTTTGGCTCCTCTGTTAAGTAACAGATAAATGTTAGTATATGGCTTTATTTCTGTGTCTTCTAGTCTGTTCCATTGATCTTCAGGCCTAAGGCTGTGCCAGTTCCAAATAGTCTTCATCATTACAACAATTGTTATTAACAAAAATTTTAATTGTCAGTGGTGGGGCTTGAACTCTGGGCCTGGGCACTGTCCCTCAGCTCTTCAGCTCAAGGATAGACTCTACCACTTGAGCCACAGCACCATTTCTAGTTTTCTGGTGGTGTCTCATAGACTTCCTGCGTGGGCTGGCTTTGAACCGCAATTCTCAAATCTCAGCCTCCTGAGTAGCTAGTATCACAGATGTGAGCCACTGACGCCGGCTTGATTTTCATGATATTCTTCTTATCCATGAACATGGAAGTTCTTTCTAGTTCCTGATGTCATTTTTAGTTTCTTTTTTCGGGTTTATAGTTTTTATTGTAGATATTTCTTATTTCCTAAATATTTTTTTAATTTTATTTTTGAGGCTATTGCAAACGGAATTGCTCTCCTAATTGCCCTTTTCTGCTTGTACTCTGTGGGTATACAGAAAGGCTACTGATTTTTGTGCTTTTTTTTTTTTTTTATTCTGCTACTTTGTCAGAAACTATTGATCAGCTCTAGAAGCCTGGGTATGGAGCCTCTCAGGTCCTTTAGATATAGATCATGTTGTCAGTGTGATCAGTTTTTCTGTATACATAATCATTTTATCAAAATAAGTTTTCCTATAAGAGATTATTTCGCATTAACTCTGAAAGTCATGACCTAACATTGGTTCTTTAAATGTTTGGTAGAATTTATAAGTAAAGCCATCAGTTCTAGGTGTGTGTGTATGTTTTCACCGTATTTTGTTTGGATTATAGCTTTATTTAGCTTTTGTTTTCTTCTTGATTATGTATAATTGGTAGTATGTTTTTAGCAATATTTATTTCATCCAGGCTATATACATATTCTTTCTTCTTATCCTTATGTTTAGTTCTTTCTTTTTTAAAAAAAATCTTTATTGTTATTATAAAAGTGATGTACAGAGGAGTTACAGTAACATAGTCAGATAGTTCTCTCTTGTTTCATAAGTTATAAAAATGTTGATTTGGCCGGGCGCCGGTGGCTCACACCGTAATCCTAGCTACTCAGGCTGAGATTTGAGGATCTCGGTTCAAAGCAAGCCCTGGCAGGAAAGTCCGTGAGACTCTTATTTCCAATAAACCACTTGAAAACTGGAAGTGGAGCTGTGGCTCAAGTGGTAGAGTGCTCACCTTGAGCTGAAGAGCACAGGGACAGGCCCAAGCCTAGAGTTCAAGCCCCATGACGGACCAAAAAAAAATGTTGATTTGATTCTCTTGATTTTTTTTTTTTAGTGTACATTTGTTTTACAAGAGAGGTTTTTTTAATGACATATATACAGTATATCCCAATGAATTTATGTTGTAATGTAACTCTAGGTCATCTTTTAAGGCAGGTACTTTATCAGTTTAATCTCCCTTTTTGCTCATTATTTTTTAGATAGTCTGTTTTAGCGTGGACCTGCCTAGACTGTACTTCTATCCAATGCTCTTCCATGTAGGTAGTATTACAAGGGCACTCACTATTCTTTAACTCCACTACTGATTGAGATGGTATCTCACTAACTGTTGCCCACACTTGACTCAAACCTTGTTCTCTATCTGTATGTCTTTAGGTCCCAAATTACAGATGTGAGCCATATCATGCTCAGCCTTAATACCTACACCACACACATACCCACACCCCCTCCCCACACACACCCCATGCAATACCTTTTTCCCTTAGCCCTTCTTTAACTATGTATTTTAGAATTTTTTCACTCATTTCTAAGCATTTTATTTCAGTTTGATCCATTGGTTGTTTAATTTGATACATTTGTGAATTTTCTAGCTTTCCTTCTGTTACTTTTTGCTAGCTTTTTTTCTTTTTAACATGTTATGATAGTGTATCTTTAACAATTTATTGACTTAATTTGTATCTTAACACCTGAAGAATGCCCAGTACATACTTGAAGAATGTTTTGTTGTTGAGTACTCTGTTCATGTCTGTTAGATCTGGTTAATTTAAGTGTTGTTCTAGTTTTCTTTCCTCCTATTGATGTGTTCATGATTGCTAGGTAGAGGTAAAACCTTCAATTGTACCAATGTCATCTCCCTTAAATGTTGTTCATTTTTACCGCATATTTTGATGGTTGTCATTTTATTAGCTATCCAAATGTTTATAATTGTTGCATCTCCTTGTGGCAAGCCTTTTATTATGTTGCTATGATTTTAACAGTTTGGTTCTACCAAAACTTATGTCCAGACTTGGTATCCAGCCTAACAATAAAAGCGAGAGGTGTCAAAGTGTTTAAGATGTAATTGTTAAGAGGGATTAATACTCCCTTCATGATTACATGACAAAATGGATTACTATAAAGTACTCCCCTTCTTCCACATCTTACATGATGCCTATATTTACCCTTCTACATAATTTAGTCATAAGTGTCTTGTTATAACAGTAGGAAATGAGCTTAGACATACATAATGACCTTTTTGTTGTTGTTCCTCAGAACAGTTTTTGGTGTAAAGGTTTTGGGTTTTTTTTTTTTTTTTTGTTTTGGTTGGGGGTTTGAATTAAGGGCCTCACCTCAGTGCTGTCCCAGAGTTTTTTTGCTCTAGGTTTACACTCTACCACTTTGAGCCACAGTGCCAATTGTGATTTTCTGGTCGTTAATTGGAGATATTCTCATGGACTTTTCTGCCAGAGTTGGCTTTGAACCATTATCCTCAGATCTCAACCTCCTGAGTAGGTAGGATTATAGGCATGAGTCACTGGTGGCAGGCTAGTTTTTGAGATGGAGTCTTGCTAATGTAACCTAGACTGGTCTCAGACTCAAGATCCTTCTCAGCTTCCCCTGTGCTGGAATTATAGGCTTTTATATTTTATCAGCATAGCCTCCCTGTTCTCTCTTTGGTTATTACTCTTCTTTCATTTTTTGTCTTTGGATGTGCAAAGTTGAGTATATTGTCAGAACATATGTAGTCATGTGCCACATAATGATGTTTGATCATATATATTACAGATGGTCCCAAATCATTGTAATGGAACTAAAAAACTAGCACCTAATGATACAGGAGCCATCATAACAGTATAGTCACTTATTGCTCATTTGTTTATGGTGATACTACTACAAACCAATTATACTGCCAATCATACAGATGTTTACCACACACAATTATGTTCAGTACATAATAACTTGATAATGAATCCCTGTTACTGGCTTATGTATTTATCCTGTTGGAGAGTGTACTCCTTTTACTTAAATGAAAAAAGTTTACTTTAAAACATATGTTGGGGCTAGGAAGGTGGTTCAGTGGTAGAGCGCTTGCCTTGTATGCATGAGGCCCTGGGTTCTATTCCTCAGCACCACATAAGCAAAAAGAAAAAAGCCGGAAGTGGCGCTGTGGCTCAAGTGGTAGAGCGCTAGCCTTGATTTGTCCCTTGAGGGACAGTGCCCAGGCCCAGAGTTCAGGCCCCACAACTGGACCCAAAAATAAATAAATAAATAAAAATAAAAAGATAAAACATATCATGTTACTATGGCCGCAGCTTCCTACATATCTTTATTAAGACACTTTAGTATGTCATCTTTTCTTATATATGATGTAATGTTATAATTTGTTCATTATGACCCTTTACTATCTAAGATACACTGATGATGTTGCTAGTAAGAGGCTTCATTGATTGATCTAGAAACAAACATGAATGAGGACTATAAAAATGCTTTTATTGAACTTCTTAAGTCAGTTATTTGGAAGTAAAAGTTTTTAAAGAATTTTTCTCCGGGCTGGGAAGGTGGCTCAGTGGTAGAGCGCTTGCCTTGCATGCTCAAGGCCCTGGGTTCGATTCCTCAGTACCACATAAGCAAAAAGAAAAAAGCCGGAAGTGGCACTGTGACTCAAGTGGTAGAGTCCTAGCCTTGAGCTGAAGAGCTGAGGGACAGCGCCCAGGCCCAGAGTTCAAGCTCCACGACTGGACCCCCCCACCCCCCAAAAAAAAGAATTTTCTCTTGCTGTTGACAAACAACCTGTCAGTGTTACAATGATAAGTGTTTGTTTCTGATTCCATAGTTAAGTTGAACTGGTTCTTCCTCAGGTCTTGGGTTAGCTGGAGTGGCCTCATATTCACAGTACAGATTGGCCAAGGCAGCTCTGTTTTAAGCTGCTTGTTCATTGCAGGCTGTATTCCAGGTGAAACAGCACTCATATATGTCTTATTCTCGGGCCCAGTGTAGAGTATACATTAAAAAGTCAAAACTCAACTGTTTATGTGTAGCTTAAGTTTTGCTTGTCTCATACTGGCTGAAGTCCTATTTATCCAAGGCAAAAAATTATAAGACCAAACCTAAAATTAAGATATGACATATATGATACTCAAATACCTCTAAGCCATGACAAGAATGCCGTACTCAGTATTATAGGATAATAAATTTTGGTCTTCTTTTGGATGAATTATCACAAATTATTTAATATTAACTAATTTTGTATTTCTATCAACTATGTACATGATTTGTTGTTTATCGCTTTGTAAATTGGTTCTTCCAGCAATTTTAGTAATATGCATCAGGGAAGACATTTCAGTTATAAAGTAAAATCCAAGGACTTAACACACAGAGGGAATAGTTGTAGATGTCTGGGGTCTTGACCAGTTTGGCTTTCAGGTGGTCAGTATTGTAAAAAATATGAATTAGGGGCTGGGAAGGTGGCCCAGTGGTAGAGTCCTTGCCTTGCATGCCTGAGGCCCTGGGTTCTATTCCTCAGTACCACATAAGCAGAAAAAAAAAGCCGGAAGTGGCGCTGTGGCTCAAGTGGTAGAGTGCTTGCCTTGAGCTGAAGAGCTGAGGGACAGCGCATAGGCCCAGAGTTCAGGCCCCATGACTGGCAAAAAAAAAAAAGAATTACTTTCTTGTTAACTATTTAAGAATCTTTAGTGAAGCAGTATTAGAAGTTAGTCCATCATGGAGATCATCCAAAAGAAAATGGTTCTCTTTCTAGTAATACAGGTATAGTACCTTTGAGTTATTTTTAAACACTGAATTATAATACTTGAAATAGTTATAATTGTTTAGTGGCCCTGACTTTCTAATCACTTGGAGAGTTTTTCAGATATGTATTATTGTCTTGGTTTACCTCTATTATAGAGATAGGGAGACTGTTTTTGAGAAGCTGAACAGACTACTTTGATAGTAATTTTCAATCTGTTAATATACCTTTGCAATTCCACAGTGAACACTTTCTAAGGGAGGCAGAATGGGCCATGTTAAACCTTTGTTCATCCCAGTTTTTTGTTGTTGTTGTTGTTGTTGTTTTTAGGAGATATTAGGTTTGAACTTTGGGCTTTACCTTGCTTTTTTGGCTGGTGTTCTACTACTGGAGCCATATCTTTTCTAGTATGTGGCAGAGTAGCTAACATAAGTATCTTCATGACTCCAAACTGTGTGAAGCCATGTGTGAGGCATGTGGACCCAAAACTGAGAGTCCAGTTAGCCTAAAACTATTTGGTCATAGCCAGCTATGGGCTTTAATTGACCTAGGCTTTTCACTAGATTCTGAGAAATAGGGAAGGGGAAAGAAGACTTCCTTGGGCAACATAAATAAATACTCTTTCAGTGCTGAATCATTTAAAAAAGGATTTCTGAATAGATCTGAATTTTCTGTATGATACTTACACAACCTACCTCCATGTTACTGAGTTTATTCTGTTTAAAGCTATTAATGTTTTGTTTAGAAGTTACAGAATTACATTTTATTAAAGTTATTTTTTCCTAAGTGAATATTTATAATGAAAGTAACGATACTGAATATTGTGTGTTTTTACCCAGACTTTTAAACTTGTTTTTAAAAATAAATTGGGTTATTAAAAATTTGCTCTATTCCTCTCATTGTAAATTGTTTGGACGATAAATTCTGAGATCTTCAATCATTTCATTCTAGGCAGCATACCTCTGCATTTGTTCCTTCATCAGGACGAATTTACTCTTTTGGGCTTGGTGGTAATGGGCAGCTGGGAACTGGGTCAACAAGCAACAGAAAGAGTCCTTTCACTGTAAAAGGAAATTGGTTTCCTTATAATGGGCAATGTCCATCAGATATTGGTAAGTTCTAATGTATGTTGTAAACTTTGCTACACACATCAAACTTCTTATTAAAATGTTTCTGTATCTGCAAGTATTCTAAGATACATTGTTAAGCTGAAATATCAAGTTATAGGTTTGATGGTACAGGTCTGTAATCTCAACAGTGAGGCCTCTAGTCTTGTTTACATAAAAAGCTCTTGTCACAACAACAACAAAAACCCCAGAACAATGTAGTATAGTTTGTTTAAATTTGCTTATCTATGCATAGGGAAATTCTGGATAAAGTTACAAAAGCAGTTTTAAAGGATGGATCGTTTGGAACTTAAGAGAGCTTGTGTCCAAACCAGAATCCAGGGTTGTTTTTTGTTTGTTTGTTTGTTTGATTTTGGTCGGTCTGGGCCTGGGCACTGTCCCTCAGCTCTTCAGCTCAAGGCTAGCACTCTGTCACTTAAGCCACAGTGCCACTTCTGGTTTTTCTGAGGGGTTTATTGGAGATAAGAGTCCACAAACTTTCCTGCCTGGGCTGGCTTTGAATTGTGATCCTCAGATCTCAGCCTCCTGAGTAGGTAGGATTACAGGTGTGAGCCACCAGCACCAGTTATTTCTAAAAATAATAAAACATGATATGTGTGTGTGTGTGTGTGTTCTTTAGATTTTATCTATTCACATTAATGGGCATGAGCATGCTATGAACATTGATATTTGAAAAGGTCCATACTTTTTATTATGAATAAATTGGAAGGTTTATTTTATTCTTTATCACCTTCAAAGTAGTTATTCAGAGGGGTTACCATTCAGCATGTGTGTTTATTAAGTACAGTACATCTTGTTAAGGTATCATCCCTTTCTTCATTTTTCCCTATCCTCAACCACTTTATTTATTTAGGTGTAGGGGCTCAACTCTGGGCCTGGGTGCTGTCCCTCAGCTCTTCAGCTCAAGGCTAGTGCCCTACCACTGGAGCTACAGTGCCACTTCTGGCTTTTTTCTGCTTACGAGGTGCTGAGGAATTGAACCCAAGGCCTTGTGCATATAAGGCAAGCACTCTACCACTGAGCCACCTTCCCAGCCCCTATTTTTATTTTTTTTATTGTTTATTGTTTTGTTTTTTGTCGGTTGTGGGGCCTGAACTCTGGGCCTGGGCACTGTCCCTCAGCTCTTCAGCTCAAGGCTAGCGCTCTACCAGTTGAGCCCTACTTCCAGCTTTGTCTGCTTATGTGGTGCTGAGGAATCGAACCCAGGACCTCATGCATGCAAGGCAAGCACTCTACCACTGAGCCACCTTCCCAGCCCCCATTTTTTATTTTTTATAAGATTAATTTAGTCATGTTCCTATTAAACAAAGATCAGCCTAAGATTCTACCGTTGCTCTTACATTTTGCTTTGACTTTGTGCCTTTGTGTTGATAATATCATTTCATAGTTAGTAGCTAGGATTACAGGCATAAGCCATCAGCACCCAGCTTTTTTAGTTGTTCTTGAAAGTTATAGCATTAAGACACTTTTGTGACTTGTAGAAAATTAGTATGTTTTATGTTTTATAAATTTATTTTTTTGAGTATCTATATTGGCAATTATTTATTCAGTTCTTTTACAATAGTCAAACATTTTAGTTGGCTTAGGGAATAATCAAGGAAATTATGTGTTTCTTTTTCTGGAAAGGAATATTTTGTTTTGTTTTGCTAAACTGGGGATTAAATCCAGAATGCTTTGTAGGCAAGTGCGCTACCAAAAAGATCAATAATTCTATAGCAGTGATGGTCACAGATAATATACAAGGTAAAGAAATAGTTAACTATTGGGAGTAGAAGTAATATTGCAGAGATGGATTATATTTGGAAATAATTATCCTTAAGCTACAATATGAAGTTATGTGATACCTCAAAATACTACTAATGCAGCTGTACTTTTGGTTATGCATACTCTATTTGGGGAAGCAGAAGAGAAGTAAAAAAGGGAAAGCCTTAAGCATTTTTTTCAAAAGGAAGTTTATTGCTATTTCTTTATCCCTGCCTAATTTTGCTGTTATTTCATATATTATGGGCTTGATTTAATTTTCATCAAGAACTGTAGATGTCAGCTATCTTTTATAGATTGATTGAGAGGAAATAATTTGGCATTAGGAAGTGTTCTGATCTATTGTTGCCCCAAAACTATTTTGTGCTGTATTGTTTTTCTTTTTAAGAATGAATATTCTAGCCAGGCACCGCTGGCTCACACCTGTAATCCTAGCTATTCAGGAGGCTGAGATCTGGGGATTGAGGTTCAAAACCAGCCCAAGGTAGTAAAGTCCATGAGATTGTTTATCTCAAATTAACTACCCAGAAAAAAAAACTGGAAGGTGAGCTGTGGTCCAAGTCCCCTCTCCATTGCCCCCCCACCCTAAAAAAAGTAAATATTCTTTCTGGGCATCTCTTGTAATCTTAGCTACTCAGGATAGTAAGACCTGGAGGACTGAGGTCTAACCTGGGCAGAAAAGTCAGTGAGGAGCTAGGCACTGGTGGCTGACTCCTATAATCCTAGCTATCCATGAGACTGAGATCTAAGGATTGTGGTTCAAAGCCAGCTTGAGCAGAAAAGTCCATGATACTTTTATCTCTAATTAATCACCAGAAAACTGGAAGAGGTGCTGTGGCTCAAAGTAGTAGAACATTCGCCTTGAGAAAAGTGCTCCTAGGTCCTGATTTCAAACCCCATGAGTGGCACCCCTCTCCCTCTTCTCTCCCCCAGCCAAAAAAAGAAGGAGAAGTAGAAAAGTCAGTGAGAGTCCATCTCCTGTTAACCAGCAAGAAGCTGGACTGGATGCATGGCTCAAGTGGTAGAGTGCCAGGCAGGAGCCAAAAAGTGAAGCAAGTGTGATACTGTGAGTGCAAGCGTGTGTGTGTGTGCGTGTGTGCGTGCGCGCGCACATGTGCATGTGCACACACACATGTAGTCTTAGGTGCAGTGGCTTATACCTGTAATCCCAGTTACTAGGGAGGTTGGAATTGGGAGGATCTTAGTTTTGAGACCAGCCTGGGCAGAAAGTTGGCGAGACCCTTATTTAAGATGAAAAGTTGGACAAAGTGGTATGGGTCTGTCAAGACTGCTATCTGCAGGAAGTGTAAATAGAATTGTGGTCCAGTTTGGCCTAGACATAAAAGGGAGAACCTATATGAAAAATATAAAGGACTGGGGGAAGGGTTATGGCTGAACTGATAAAAACAAAAACACCTGTGTAACAAGCACAAGGCCCTCAGGTTCAAAGCCCAATTACATAGATAGACACAGTATTCTCAATTTTTGTGTTGTTCTATCTTTTGTAACATTTATTGCATTTCTGTATTCTTGTTAAATGGATTTTTAGTGAAACAGAAATAGAAAATATTTGCTGGCAGCTGGGCAGGTGGCTTAGTGGTAGAGTGCTTGCCTAGCATGCATGAGGCCCTGGGTTCCATTCCATTCCTGGTGGCTCACGCCTGTAATCCTAGCTACTCAGGAGGCTGAGATCTGAGGATCGCGGTTCAAAGCCAGCCCGGGCAGGAGAGACCGTGAGACTCCTATCTCCAATAAAACCACCAGAAAACCGGAAGTGGCGATGTAGCTCAAGTGGTAGAGTGCTCGCCTTGAGCTCAAGAGCTGAGGGACAGTGCCCAAGCCCAGAGTTCAAGCCCCACGACCGACCCCAAAAAAAAATATTTGTGTGCAGAATAGAAAGAAACTTTGAAACTTATGCTTATAGAATCATTTACTGTTGTTATTCTGTCATTTCGTTAGTACAATTCCCAGATTATTCAGAATATTACAAGTCATCTTAGGGTGCCCTTTAATGGGAGGTCTAATTAGATGAGTTGAACAAATCCAATAGCAAATTTGATGCATTGAAATATGTTAAAAAATACTGAATTCTAATTTTGTTATTTTTTTTAAAAAGGTTTTATTTTTATTACAGATTCTCAAGAATATTTCTGTGTAAAAAGAATTTTCTCAGGTGGAGACCAAAGCTTTTCACATTACTCTAGTCTTCAGGTAATAATATAGTCATGTAAACATTGCTTAGCACAAAAATTTTTGAGGAATTAAATTTTTTCCTCTCTCTTACCTGTTTTTCTTTAAATGGTTAGACAAAAGTGACTTTATTCTTTTTAATTAAACACTTCAAAAAGATACATACTGGGAGATTCTTGCATTGAACAATATATATATATATATATATTGAGCAATATATACCTGACTAATCTCCTTAATTTTAAAATTTAGAACTCTGGGCCACCTGATGACTTTAGATATCCTGATCCTTCAAAGCAGATCTGGACAGTGAATGAAACTCTTATTCAAAAATGGCTAAGCTACCCCTCTGGAAGGTTTCCTGTGGAGATAGCCAAGTAAGGAAAACATTGCACCTATACAAAGACACAACCTTTACTGATGGGGATTTATTAAAATGTTTTTTCCACTACCATTCACTGCATTTTTATATAGAAAAATGTAAATGATGCAGTTTCCCAATGGAGTTCCAAAAAAAAAAATCTCATTTACATTTATATAGGTAGTCCTTTTATACATTCAAAAGTATATTATGGTGGAATATGAAATGTAGCTCTTATAAAGTTCTATTTGGAATACTTTGTCTTATGACTACTGTCTTAAACTTGTATATCCTTGACAGAATTAAATAATAGTTCTTCTTGAATAGTCTATCACTTAGGGTTTTGCTTGTTGCCTTGCTTTTTGTTGATATTTGGGATGAAGTGTTTTATGTGCTGTGTGCAATGACAATTTGACAGACTGTGTATGTGTTGGTCCCATCAGAAATGTAGCTGAAAATGTCAGTTGGCTAGTGAAATTGTAGCTGTCAGAGGATGATACATTTTTCATGTATTTGTGATGATATCAGCATTACCACACAATTGTTTGTTCAGCCCAGCATCTGCCAGAAATATATATAGTGCTTAATATTTGATAGTGAGCAACCCTGTAACTCATGTGTATATTTACTACTATCTACTTTTTATAGTCATTTTAGAATGTCATTTAGTCATTTTGGAAGTCATTTAGTCATAAAAATGTTTCTTGTACAGTGATATGCTGTGTTATGCTGGTAGCTGTCTCATATGCCTCATGCTTATCCAAGTTTCTTCCGTGCATCATTTTTCCTCTCTTGATTTGATCTTATGTTTTGTTCATCATGGCCCCAAGAGCAGTAATCTATAATTGACATCCTATAGTCTGGGTATATAGTAGCTATACAGTGTTTCTTTCTTTCTTTTTTTGTTGTTATTGGGGTTGGGCTTGAACTCAGGGCCTGTGTGCTGTTCCTGAACTCTTTTTTGCTCAAGGCTAATGCTGTACCACTTTGAGCCACAGTGCCACTTCCAGTTTTCTGGTGGATAATTGAAGTTAAGAGTCTCACAGACTTTCCTACCTGGGCTGGCTTTGAACAACACTCCACATCTCAGCCTCCTTAGTACCTAGTATTACGGAGTAAGCTACCAGTGCCTGGCTGTTTTTATTTCTTTCCTATTGGTTTGTCTTAGGACTATTCTATGGTGTTCCTATGACACAATTTCTAAATGACATATTTACCAACATGCATGGTTATATTTAAATTATTTTATGATTTTTATATCTTCAAGAATACCACCAGGGTTGTCAAACACCGAAGATTATTACTACAGTGTGGACTTTTAAAAACTTAAATGTCAGTGCTGATGGCTCATGCCTGTAATCATAGCTGCTTAGGAGGCTGAGATCTGAGGATTGAGTTTTGAAGTCAGCCCAGGCAGGAGAATCCTAAAAACACTTATCTTCAGTTAACCACCAAAAAGTCAAGAATGGGTGAAGTGTAGAGCACTAGCCTTGAACAAAACAATTCAGGGACAGTGGCTAGAGCCTGAGTTCAAGTCCCTGTAGGGGCGCCAGAAAATGCACAATGTTGTAGTGTTAGTGCCCATAGCTAGTGGCTTGTCATCCTAGCTACCAAGAAGGTTTGGAACCATCTTAGGCAGAAAAGTCCTCTAGATGCCCTTCTTACAAAACAAAATAATAGGGCTCGGAAATGAGGCTTAGCAGTAGAGTGGTTTCCTAACATACATGAAGCCCTGGGTCCGATTCCTCAGTACCACATAAACAGAAAAGGCCAGAAGTGGCTCTGTGGCCTAAGTGGTAGAGGCTAGCCTTCAGGAAAAGAAGCTCAGGGACAGTGCCCAGACCCTGAGTTCAAGCCCCAGGACTGGCAGAAGAAAAAAATTTAGCAAAAAGCAGGGTTAGAGATAAGACTCAAGTGATAGAGCACAGCCTAGAGAGCAAGCCCAGCAATTAGGATACCCTGAGTTCAAACCTCATTACTTGCCAAAACAAAAAAGTTAAATATGCATGCTGATGGGAAAATTAAGATTGTCATCTTACCTGATGAATCAGAAGGTGAACTTATTTAAGAAAGTGTAGAGCAAATAGTAATAAATAATTACTGGGTGCCAGTGAATCAATCCTAACTCAGTATGCTGAGAGCTAAGGATCAAGTTTCAAAGTAAGCCCAGGCTAGAAAGTCATTAAGATTATTATCTCCAATTAACCACCAAAAAGCCAGAAGTGGAGCTGACAGAGCACTAGCTTTCAGCAAAAAAGCTCAGAGACAGGCCGGGTGTTGGTGGCTCATGTCTGTAATACTAGCTACTCAGGAGGCTGAGATCTTGAGGATCACAGTTCAAAGTCAGCCTGGGCAGAAAAGTCAGTGAGACTCTTATTTCCAATTAACCACTAGAAAACCGGAAGTGGTGCTGTGGCTCAAGCAGTAGAGCGCTCACCTTGAGCTGAAGAGTGTAGGGATAGCGCCCAAGCCCAAAGTTCAAGCCCCACGACCGACCAAAAAAAAAAAAAGCTCAGGGACAGCACCATAGGCCCAAAGTTCAAGCCCTAAGATGTGAGTATGCATGCACACATACACAAATTAAAAATCATTCCTCAATAATTTACCTAATTTCAATTTAATTTGAGGATTGGTTATAGGAGTTTCCTCTAGCTTTAAATACTAAATATTATTCTTGTTTGTGCTTGCTAGTCAGACCTTCTACTATTTGAGCCATGCCTCCAGGCATCTTTTTCCTTTTTAAAAATTAGGTAGATTCTCTCTCTGTTCAGCTTCACTGTGGTGAAAACCCTCCTCAATCTGGTTCTAAATATTTTTTGAAGTTTTTTGTTGGTCGTGGGCTTGAACTCTGGGCTTTGGCGCTGTCCCTGTACTCTTCAGTTCAAGGCGAGTGTTCTACTGCTTGAGCCACAGTGTCACTTCTGGTTAAGAGTCTTCTGGATTTTCCTGCCCGGCTGGCTTTGAACCGTGATCCTCAAATCTCAGCCTCCTGAGTAGTTAGGATTACAGGCGTGAGCCACTGACAACTGGCTTAAAGTTTTATTTTAAAAAACTGCTAGGTGCCAGTGACTCATGCCTGTAATGAGGATTGCATTTCCTTTTTCTTTTTTTAATTGTGAAAATACCGTACAGATGGGTTACAATTACATTGAGGATTTCAAAACCAGCCTGGGCTGGAAGTTTGTGAGACTCTTGTCTCCAATTAACTACAAAAAAGTGAAGTTATCGCTCAAGTGGGAGTGCATTAGCTTTGAACACATAAGTTCAGGCTTGGAGTTGAAGTTCGAAGACTAGCACCAAAAGGAACAACAAAAAAAACCAAATTTTTCATTCAAAAATTGTTTTCTCTTTAAATTTCTTTTTAGTGAGATTGATGGAACATTTTCCTCATCTGGTTGCCTAAATGGAAGTTTTTTAGCTGTTAGGTAAGTCATACTTCCCTTTTTTGTTAAACTTTCAAATGTATTAAATCATTTATTAAAGTAGTACAATTACTGTATGCTAATAAAAAAGGAGTCAAATATTTTTTTTGTTCTTGTGTTTTTATCTTTCTTTAGCAATGATGATCACTATAGAACAGGCACCAAATTTTCAGGCGTTGATATGAATGCTGCTAGGCTTTTATTCCACAAACTTATACAACCTGATCATCCTCAGATATCTCAGCAGGTTTGGTTTAAAATAATTTTTAATTACATTCACTTACAGCTAATGAACTTTGCAATTTTTAAGCTCATTTATGCTATGCTTGTATAATTTTATTGAATACATTACTATAAGAATTAAAATAAGGAATTTGTGGGTAGGGTGGGCTACTTCTGTAAACGGAGCAGCTCAGCAGAGATTAATAGGATCCCAGTTTGGGCTAAGACTGGGAAAAAGTAAGGATCTATCTCATAAATAATTTGGGTATGGTGGGACATGCATGTCTATAATCCCAGCTATGTGAGAGATGTGGAAGGAGATTACTGTTTATGGTCAGCCCTGGGCAAAAAGCATGAGACCCTATCCAAAAAGCAAAAAGAGCTAGGAATGTGACTCAAGTGGTAGAGTAATTGGCTAACAAGCTCAAGGCCCTGAGTTCAAACTCCTAATAATGCCAAACCAATTGAAGTAATTCATTAAAATAATTAAAATAAGTTTTATCTTAGAACAATTGTAATATAGCTGTCAAAGAAGTATAAATCTTTTTTTGGGGGGGGGGTCCGGTTGTGGGGCCTGAACTCTGGGCCTGGGCGCTGTCCCTCAGCTCTTCAGCTCAAGGCTAGCGCTCTACCACTTGAGTCACAGCGCCACTTCCGGCTTTTTCTTTTTGCTTATGTGGTGCTGAGGAATCGAACCCAGGGCCTTGAGCATGCAAGGCAAGTGCTCTACCACTGAGCCACCTTTCCAGCCCAGAAGTATAAATCTTTTCAAATGTTTGTCTCTGAATTTCTTAATAATCCCTTGTTAAAGTCTATTCATAGATAGTAGGTTATAGTGATATGAGAATTTAAATGGATGGAGACTCACAGACTTTTAAACATTTTTCACCCTTAGCAATGCTTAGGCATTAATTTTCATTATAGTTTAAACTACATTCCTTCTAAGCCAGCATTTTCATTTCACCATTTCATGAGATTTACCCTTTTTTCTTTTCTTTTCTTTCTTTCTTTTTTTTTTTTAAGTGCATTCATTTAAATGAAGTAGGTTTTGCTTTTTGTCAAAATATAGGTTGCAGCTAGTTTGGAAAAGAACCTAATACCTAAATTGACCAGCTCCTTACCTGATGTTGAAGCATTGAGGTTTTATCTTACTCTGCCAGAATGTCCCCTGATGAGTGATTCCAACAATTTCACAACAATAGCAATTCCCTTTGGCACAGCTCTTGTGAACCTAGAAAAGGCACCATTAAAAGTACTTGGTAAGAATTTTAATATTTTTTTGAAACCTTTTCTCTATAAGTGAAAATCTTTTTTTTTTTTTGTTTAAATTTTGCTGCCTTATTTGACATTGTTAGAAGGGAGGGGACCTATTCTTTCCTTTTGTGCCTTTCTTACTGTCATTTGCTTCTAATTTTTGATGTTGCTGAAGGCAGAATATGTTAGAGAATTTTGATTAAATATGATAAGTGACAATGTAAAGATGCGTACAATCCTTATTTTTCACTGCCTTTAAGGTGTTAAAGAACAGAGAACAATTATGTCTGATCAGGTATGGGCTTTAGATCATCTTTGAGCTGCACAGTTTCACTTAATTTCCTTATGTTTCTTTTCTGCTTATAGAGAGAATTTTATGCATCTGATCATACAGCTCTGCCTCTTTTCTGTTGTGTGTGTGTGTGTGTGTGTATGTGTGTGTGTGTCTGTCTAAACTCTAATCTTTCTAATTCTATGGATTAATTTCTAACTTCAGGCCTTTGTAATGGGTTGTTAACATTTGTTCTGGTACAAGAACATTAAAGCTAAGGATAGTGTAGTAAGTAAGCAAGAAGCACAAAGGATAGAATACTAGAATCTGAGGGTGTTAGCCAGTAATAATTAAGAATTTTTTGTATTCTCTATATCTGCTCTATAGGGGATAATATTTGTAATTATATGACTACAAATAACAAATGTAGGGAAAGAGAAATTATAATTTTATATTATTAAGGATCTGTTTTTGATTTTCAGGAGGCTTTTACATTTTAAACTTGGCACTTTATAATTTAGTTTTATATTAAGCTGAAATTTAGAATGATCGTTAAATATTTGAGCAATACAGTTTTAAAGTGTTTTCAAAAATCAAAATTTTGATTTCTAAATGTTTTTAACTGGTTTTATTAAATGAAGTGAGTTTTAATTTATGTAACTAAGATAAATTTAGTTAAATGTTCATAATTTATTTTTGCTTTTGAACATTTTTAGGATAATATACTTTAGCTTAGTTGTGGGAAAAATTATAAATCTAGATTGCTTTGTTCATCACCCTGGGATTTTCAAAATGTTAAGAACCACAACTCTAAAAGAAAGGTTAGTATGTCTGAAAATTGTGATCCTTTTAAATTAATTTTATTTGCATGTTCACCCTTTAATAACAGAAAACTGGTGGTCCATACTTGAACCTCCACTATTCCTCAAGATAGTAGAGCTTTTTAAGGAAGTTGTGGTACATCTTTTGAAACTCTACAAGATTGGCATCCCCCCTTCTGAAAGAAGAATTTTCAACAATTTTCTTCATACTGCATTAAAGGTTTTAGAAATACTACATAGGGTATGTCTAATAGTTTCTTTATTTTCTTCTTTCCCATTGCTGTGAACAAACTGATAATGTTCTTTTCCACATTGATATATTAAAGAGGCATGAAATACATATCATTGAAAGTTGAAAAAGTTATGTTTCCTTTTAAAAATGTAATGTATTATACTTTGGAACTTTGGTCCTCCTGGACTTTGCTAAGCATTTGCAGATAACATGTTTATAATTGGGCAGAATAATAGCATATTAATGAATTAGAACTCTTGTATTTTCTTGTGAGAAATATACTATGTTGATTTAGTTGTATATTTTTATGAGTTTTGAATGATTATCATATGAAAGCTACTGGGCCTTTGTTGTTATTATGAACATTTAAACTTATGTTCTTTTGATGTCAGGTACTAGTGGCCTCAATCAAAGTGAATGTTTCATTTGAAACAAATGACTAATTTGAAATTGAAACCCTATATAATTCATTAATTTGCCTATTGTTCTTTCCTGCCCTTTTTCTCAGTGTAAGAAATAGTACCCTTTACACTTGTAGAAGTGCAAAGTTATATGAAGAAGTAGAGTCTCAGCTGTTTCATTAGAGATGGATTTGAGGCATCCCTGACAGTTGGTAGGTATATATATCTCTGTTATGCCATTTGGTATTCTTGAGTTGCTATTTAGATCAGACATGACCTAAGAGAGAAGCATATGTTTCTAGCCTACAGAGTGACCCAAAACCTCCTATGAATCTATAACGTTAAAAAGTTTTTTCTGTAATGGATACTTTGTACTTTCAGATGCTTCTTGCCTAACATTTAGGTAATTAATAACGGGCTAAAGGAGTAGTCTTATTGGGATCCCCTTCCTTTCTACTTCCCTTCCTCCCGCTTTCAGGGCCTTGGTGCTCTCTCAGAGAACTTTTTTCACTCAAGGCTGGCTTTCTACTATTTGAGCCACAGCCCTACTTCCAGCCTTTTACTGGTTAATTGGAGATAAGGATCTCATGTGTTTTTCTGCCCAGGCTGGCATTGAACAGGGATCCTCTGATTTCAGCTTTCCAAATAGCTAAGCATGAGCTACTGGCTCCTGGCCATCCTTTGCTTTCTGTATGAAAGAACCTTATGGCTCATTTGTTTCCCTTTTGATTTTCTTAGGTTCCTGGGTATTTTTCTCAACCATCTCAACTTAATGAACATTTTCTTTTTATAGTTAATTTATTCCAGATTCCTAGACAAACAACTAATTTTTCTTTTCATTGTTATGAAAGAAATGATAGTAATTTCTTCCTTAGGAAGACAGGTCATTCTCTAACAGAACCTATCAAGTTCTAGGTCCATAGCTATTACAGAGCTAAACCTCTTGGCTAGGATTCAAAAGATTTATTAGATCACACACACATACACACACTCCTTGCTGTTTTGGTGAAGTGTCCATTTTCAGCTGGAGTTGATTATTAATTACTCTCTCTTTTTGTCTTTTATAACCATAGAAAGGCCTTGAGTATGTAACTTATCTTAAAAAAACCTCAGTCTCGGGCTGGGAAGGTGGCTCAGTGGTATAGAGTGCTTGCCTTGAGCTGAAGAACTCAGGGACAGTGCCCAAGCCCAGAGTTCAGGCTCCACGGCCAACGAAAAAACAAAACAAAAAAAGCCCTCAGTTTCAGCCAGGCACTGGTGGCTCATACCTGTAATATTAGCTATTCAGTAGGCTTGAGATTTGAGGATCGCAGTTAAAAGCCAGCCTGGGCAGGAAAGTCCATGAGACTCTTACCTCCAATTAACCACCATTAAATTGGAAGTGGTGCTGTGGCTCCAGTGGTAGAGCTCTAACCTTGAGCTCAAGAGCTCAAGGACAGGGCCCAGGTCCAGAGTTCAAGCCCCAGGACTGACAAAAAAGGAAACAAAACAAAACCCCCCAGTTTCTACTGAGAAAGGTCCTGATAAGAATGCATTTCCAGAGATATTTTTTAAATTTATTTTATTTTATGAGTTAAGATTTTAGTATTAGGCAGCACTTCATTCCATAGAACAGAATGTGTTTCCCCATAGATCTTTTTTAAAAAACTAATTTAATTTGAATTTATTATTATTATTTGTTGTTGTTGTTGTTGTTGGTTGTGGGGCTTGAACTCTGGGACTGGGTGCTGTTCCTGGGCTCTTCAGCTCAAGGCAAGCTCTCTACCACTTGAGCCACAGCGTCACTTCTGGTTTTCTGGTGTTTAATTGGAGATAAGAATCTCAGGACTTTCCTGCCAGAGCTGGCTTTGAACCATGATCCTCAGATCTCAGCTTCCTGGTTAGGATTACAGGCATGAGCCATCAGCAACAGCAAATTTATTATTTTTGAGAGGGACAAAGTACTATGGAATATTCAAGCTTTTTCTTGGCTTGAATTCAGGTCCTGGGTGCTATCCCTGAGCTTCTTTGTGCTCAGGCTAGGGCTTTACCACTTGAGCTACAGCACTACTTCCAGCTTTTTCAGAGTAGTCCCATGGACTTTTTCTGTCTGGGCTGGCTTCAAACGGCGATCCTCAGATCTCAGCCTCCTGAGTAGTTAGGGTAGAGGTGTGAGCCACCAGCACCATGCTGACAGTATATAGTTCCTTTTCTTTTTTTGGCCAATCCTGGGGCTTGAATTCAAGGCTTGGACACTGTCCCTGAGCTTCTTTTGCTCAAGGCTAGAGCCTTATCACTTGAGCCACAGGCCACAGCACCACTTCCACTTTTTTCTGTGTATGTAGTACTGAGGAATCGAAACCAGTGCTTCATGGATGCTAGACGAGCACTCTACCACTAAGTCACCTTCCTAGCCAGTGTATAGTTCTTATTGCTTGAAGTATAACAAAAACTAATTTCTCCTAGATCTTTCTAATAGTCTCATGCATACTAGGTACTAGAGATCTAACATATTGCTTACTAGAAATATCCAGGAGCAAAACCTCTTGTACATAATGCAGATGGGAACTTTCTGTATATTACTGTATATTATTCATACCAAACTTTTTAAACCCTCTATAGGGTTAAAAGTGCAATTGGTATTTTACTCCTTTTTATTTTTTATTTTTTGGGTCTGGCCGTGGGGCCTGAACTCTGGGCCTGGGTGCTGTCCCTCAGCTCTTCAGCTCAAGGCTAGCGCTCTACCACTTGAGCCACAATACCACTTCCAGCTTTTTTCTTTTTGCTTATGTGGTGCTGAGGAATCAAACCCAGGGCCTCATGCGTGCAAGGCAAGTGCTCTACCACTGAGCCATCTTCCCAGCCTTTACTCCTTTTTTATATGAGAAAAATGAATCTTATTGTCTTAGTGTTGAACTACTGAATCAAAATCTGTTTTCAAAGCCCCAACTATTTGTAATGTTCTATATTAACACTACAATATACTTAAAGGGGGATTGCTTTATTATTATGCCCCTAGATCTAGGAGTTTATACAGTTAGATTATATATAGGCTAGATTACATATAGTACTGTATTACATTATAGGGCCTGGATTAGGAATCAAAAGATCATGTTTTAGGGCTGGGAAGGTGGCTCAGTGGTAGAGCACTTGCCTTGCATGCTTAAGGCCCTGGGTTTGATTCCTCAGCACCACATAAGCAAAAAGAGAAAAGCCAGAAGTGGCGCTGTGACTCAAGTGGTAGAGCACTAGCCTTGAGCTGAAGAGCTGAGGGACAGCGCCCAGGCCCAGAGTTCAGCCCCACAACTGGACCCCCCCCCAAAAAAAAGATCATGTTTTAGTCCCTTTTGTAATAGTGTGATTTTTGAACATTCATCTATAAATATGCAAATAACTAATCATTTGTAAAGGAATTTATTTCCAGGGCTGATATATTTAAAATATATAAGAATTTAACTTATTAAAAGTGGTATTATCACATTCCAGAAAGCCAGTACTTTGATTTATTGGGTTATAAGAAAATGGATTCTTGTTTGAAGTTGATACGTACTTAAGAAAAGAATAATACAGGATGACTCCCACCTCCTTTCCTTATCCTTCCTTTTTCCTTCTTTGCTTTCCGTTGTTTTTATATTTTTCTGTGCTAGGGATTAAATGCAAGATCTCATGCACACTAGGTAACTGCTCTGCCACTGAGCTACATTACCATCTTTCGAAGATGAATTTTTAGCCGTCTTCTAGGCCTCTCTAGGATAGCTAGTTATTTTTTTTCTACCCCTACTTGGGACAAAACTGTGCTTCATTTTGCTCTATGATAAATACCCATGGTTATTAACAGTGATTATTCACTCTTATGAAACCCAAATTACTTATCAGAAACTTTTTTTCCCCAAAGATACTTAAATCTGACAATTGCTTTGTTCATAATTGTTTTGTTTCTCTGATTTCCTTTTGACCTTACCCTGGAGCAAGATTAAGAACTTTCTAGAGAACTAGATTTCAGGATATATGGATGTGCTTGTTCCTCCCATATGTCATGTCCTTTGGAAAACTTTTTAAATTAAAAATCATTTCAGTACTCCAAATGGCATCATAAGAAAAATACCTTTGGTACCTGCTGTCAGGAATGAATAAATTATGAGAATAATGAGTTTACTCGCAAGTAATTGGGTTATTTCAGAGTTTTTATAAGGTATATTGTAGTGATACTAGTATGTCAAAAGAAAAGGCTTAACTTGGTCTGTGTGGCCTAGTTGCTAAAGAATTGTGTTGGTTTTCCAAATTAATGATTTTCACATCCATTTTTCTTTAAGGCATCTTTAAACAAATCCTTAAATAAAGAACTACATTTATTCACTCTAACCAGCCTTGAACTAACGTTTATAAGCCCACATATTAAACTAATTAAAATATGAAGTAAAAATATTATGACCAAACTTACAAATTTTAAACATTTAAGGTAGTTTGAATAGTCATTTTGAATTTTTACCATGTAATTTCTCCTATTTTTTTATTTTGCAAATACTTACTGAGTACCTACTTGTATGCTTGTCAATTTTATTAGATATTAGAGATATGAAAATAAGGAAATGGCCAGGCACTGTTACCTCGTACTTGTAATTCTAGCTA